TACGTCTGTTATGATATCAAAATAAAGTTTACTAACTTGATCATCGTTTGTCAGTATGGGGTCATTTTTCATTGTCAAGTTGGTCAATTGGTGAAGATAACAAAACCAAGTGTAGATTGTCGGATTTGATAAGTGTTTAAAATTATAAAATCAGTGTGTGTTTACTTCCTTATCACATTCGTGTTGATTTTGTTACTTCATGAGGGAGGGTGGTGTTGTAACCAGGTCAGATTCTGTTTTAGTCCATTGTTGGCGAACATTCTACAGCTGTGCCACAGACGCACATAGTCAAAGCAATTTGCCTTAATGAGTGAAAGAATCGAGTTGTTACTAACCTAAAAAAACAACAAGTATGATCTCATCACATCAAGTTATTCTGTTTGGAGAATAAAAGTCACTTAGAATGTCAGAAATGTTTATTATCTCTTTGATTAGTGATTTTTGTCTAGCGTTAGATGTTACTGTTTTTTACACTGCCTTACATATAAAATCGTATCAGTTAAGTGAGATGCATCAACTGTCGAAGCTTAGACCTTGGTGAATACATCCGTTGACAGATAATTATGTAATCTGAATTGATTTACTTGTTGGGTTTTGCGTTAAATTCTCAATGGATTCATTGGTTAATTGTCTGGATAAATAAGCGTCGAATATCTCACTGTCAGCTACTGTCCATATCATCACTAATAATTCTGAGACTGATTCGATCATCCAATCCCTCATGTCTTTTATATTCCATTCCTGAATGAATATGCCTGTTGTAACTTTACGAGTCTTTAGCAGTTGGCTAAAATTTATTATTATTGACTGGATCACATTTCTTATAGACTAATATTTTATGCCGTTTCGGCCTACTAAGTCACAAAATTGTGAATTCAGGCATGCTTATCATAAAAGTTCATGCATGTATCATCATCACACTAGAAAAGCTGTTTGATTTTCGTTTCATTTTTCTATGTACGCTTTATTTTTTTTTATAGAAGTAAGGATATTTGCGTTCTCACTAGCTGAAATAATCCTTTTAAAGCGGCCAACTACCGCTGTATTATGTTATACTGTTTTGAATTTACTTCTCCAGTATATTCGTTTGCTTTATTTCATATGCGAATAATTCATTTTTGCAGTCTGTAATGATATCATTTTTCTGTCAATTTAAATAATTATCATAAGGGTCGTAAGTCTTATCTCATATATTGAATACTGCTATATGATAAAGTTTCAGGGTGTTTGAACGGCTTCTGTTTGCGCTTCTGGTGATATTGTTATTTGTCTAATAGGAGATTAAGTATTTCTTCTTTCTTTCATGAAAAATTCCCATTCGAACATTAATAAACAGAAGACCAGTAGTTCAGCGAAGAGTCTCTTTTCGACGAATTCATTTTCATAGTTGTACAATCGCAAATATATATGGTTGTTTTGTATGTGTGTGTACATTAAATTTGTCAAACGAAAATACAATTAGTAAGTTCAGATGGATTGGATGTTGATATAAGAGGGTAGTAACAAAAGTGATGAGTTGTCACAAACGATTGTTAAAGAAGAGTTACGTAATAATGTGAATAGTTTGATGAAAGAGTTGTGCTCTTTCTTCTTTCAGATCATAAGGTGGCACGAGAATCTTGCGGATTATGAGTAATGTTCTGAACAGAAGCCACACAGATTGTGTAAGCTGTATAATATATGATGTACAGTTCTGTTGATACATATAATAACATAATATTCTCCTGCCGAATGTGCCTCGCTTAACTTCTACGAATGAACTAGACTTAGAGATAAAAAGTGAATAGAGAATGGGTAAATTTTTAGAGCAGTTATATATATTTTTAAAAGTATTCACTCCAATAAACTTACTTTTTATATGCCAGGCTAACATATGCTTCCTACGTGGTAAACTAAAGAGAATTTCCAGCTTGTGTAGGTGTTTATGGAAACATTGCCTCAATACCCGTGCTCTTGGAGTCAGCTGATTGATACAAAGCTTTGTATCATCTAGGAAGGGTTGACACTCGTCTGTATGACAATGACACTGTTGTCTGTCCGGAAATTCAAGTCCGTTTCACTCAGTGCTTTCATCAGAAACACCACCATTAAGCCGTTCTAGCTGCTATCAACCCTCCTTAAGATCGATAAGAGTCAGCCAACACTAATAACGTGACATCGATTGTTCTGCAGGTAACTAGTCAATGTACTATAATGTAATAGTTTCCTGAGGTTATGAATGGTTAGATTTGATATTGTTGTTTTTTATGAATAAAGTTGTCCCTAATAGACGATTCAAGCAATTAGGTGTGCTAGACTGTAAGGGCTCATTTTTCCACACCAGTATTCACCCACTGTTTTCACCTTCTGCATGTTTTTTAAGTAAACAGTCTTCTAACTGGCGAACTGCTAAATTTTGCCGTATTAATTAGCCTGCATATGATGTTCACTTAACTACCATCTAGTATTCCAACGATTTTTATCCTTTTCACTTTAGTATTAGTGCATTCTTTAAAAGCAAACTACACTTATATCTTTTATCTTACTTCTGGTCAGGTTGAATTCTTAGGCAAATTGTTTTCACCGGGTAGTTATATATCTGTTCAGTCTTAATAACGTTGACTGAAATTCATCGATCCTATGTAGAATGTAGTTAACTGGGGCGTTTCACAATTATCCTGGGGATAGATAGGTAATAATCAATCACAACACGTCTATTCAATGAGATAGAAAAAGTTATTCAACCGCAAAAAAATGCATTACAGCAGTTGGTCCAAGTAAACAAGCAAACTATTTTGACTACGAACACCTGTTTAAGTGTTTGAAATTCCACGAAAGCCAACTGGTATCAAGAAAAGCAGCAGTACACCAGTGGTCAAATAACTGGTAAGAGAGATGACCAGTATGTTATGAAAAGGTCTGCTACCAAGACAAGATATAATTCAACTATAGTACTTTTGTGGTGTGTGCTACTGATAAGATTTACCAGTAATATGTAGAGAGACGTTCATTGGCATAAAAACATCAAGTTACGGAGAGATAGATTTGACGTTAATAAGACTAAATGATTCAGCGTTGCGGAAAAGCATGGGAGACACGGAAAGAAGGCAAAGAAATACAACACGAAGGGCAGAAGTAGCACAACACGGAAGATCTGTGCAAATGACGATCTAGAGATAAGATGTACATAATTTCGCTATGTAGAGATACTAAGTTACAAATAATCATTCCTTTGCCAAGTCTCTTGTCTTCTACCGTTACACTTTCTTTCTCATGTGCAAATACTCATCATTTTGAAAAACTGGACAACACGATAAAATCCGCGTTTTCGCCTATTAACGTAGATACAGAAAAAAGAGATAACTCTTGCTTAAGAAAGGCGACATAATGCGTGTAGGCTTTCGACGTGTTGTTCAGTAGTTCCAAAGAAGAAAAAGTCACTGGGATTTCATAAAACCGACTTATTTGGCAACACTCCTCCACCAACTTCACAAAAATGCCTATCATTCGATTATACATTGGCTTTGTAGTATAAATTTTCAGTATTTTTTTAAAAAAGAAACCACCACAATCAACACATGAAGGATTGATATCATCATGTCACATATAGAAAATATGTCAATTTTGATATGTTACATCTTAGGCTTTATAAAAGTAGCCTAGTGTGATATTCTCTTTTCTATTATGGTTTTTATCGTTTATTATTACGGATTACTAATCTGTTTCCTGTAGTCCAAATAGGAATGCTCAGATGTGTAGCACTTGTCTTTTATGTGCTAATTTTTTTAAGAAGTGATTAATGTCGCACAGATGATTGTGTGCTCTTAGCCGAAGCTGTCGGTACCTTAGACATTCGATTTTTCATGGAGATTGGTAATACAGTTCATGTGTTTTTGCATTACGGTTTATTATCTCAATTGTGTTCACTTAAATATATTTATTTGTTCTCAAATGTCTATTGTGGAATTAAATATACTATAACTTGATATTGATAATGGTATTTCATTTGTAATGCTAACTTCCACAAAATTAAAATTTAGACAACATACAGAATTTTTTCTGTTTCAGTAACCGACTATTCTATCTCCCGTGTTAAGTGGTATAATACGTCGAACAATATTGGGGTTAGGCGTCGAGTGCTAGGTAGGTGAGAGGGAAAGTCAGTCGACGAGGCTGTGAAGTTAGATCGATTGAGATGGTTATGACATGTTTTACGCATGCCTAGCCATCGCCTTCCTTGACGAGCAATGTTATCTGACACAGGATGGATCAGGTTGAAAAAGAGTTAGTAGTAGTCAATCCTAAACATGGCATCAATCAATGAAATCCACAACAGTTAGTTTAAGCCACGTAGGAAGGTGTAGAATTCCTGGTTGGGGTCTTCGGAACGGTAAAAGCAATGGCTGGAGACAATCAGTGATATGGCTCAAAATCGTTCTCAATGGCGCAGATGCATTCACTCTTCGTGATTGATAATATTCAATAAAACCACATTGTTCTTCCATCTGACTAAATTTTTTTGCCTCATATCTCTGTTTATTTCTGTTTTGAATCTTTCTCTTCTCTGGCTTTGTGTGCTACATGGAGTGTGGCAACTCGAACTACTGCACATCTGTGCAAAGTTCTATGTTGAAACCAGTTAGTCAGACAGTAACTGAATAATTGTCTATATACATTATGCACATTTCAATTTATATTCTTCACTTTCCACTAAAACACAAAGATATTCAAATACTGCCAATATCAGATTACCTAAAATCTTGCTATAGATATATTTTCTGTTTTTCAAATACGAATTTCTCAAATTTTTTTCCTTTCACAAAATATCATATATCGTGCTAACCGCATCACCTGTTAAATGATCTTAATTTTTTTTTCCTTTTTGATAAAGCAAGAGAAATCGATTGTCAATTATATCTAAACTTCTTTTGATTTCATTACCTTAATCAACTTCGGTTTTCACTACAACAATAATACTTCTATGTATTTCTGTTTTGAATCGGCTTTTTTTTCTTCAACAGACTCGATTTCTCCACAGGATTCAAAGTTCAATTTATCTGGTTCTCAGTGCATTTCTATTCGAAATACCTCATTAAGTTGTGCTGATGATAGGAATAATAATCACAATACTGATACTACTTCCATCACTACTACTACTATTGCGGATGATAATAATAATAATAATGCTATCTGTTCTGTGAATATTTCCAATGGTAGTCATCATTTCGAGGACAACTTTATGCAAGAACATGCAAATGGAAATAAGGAAAACAAAGAATATTGGCATGAAAAAGTTAAACGCTACGGTTGGCGGGTTAAATTGAAACCAGAAGTACAAGTGTTAAAAAATTTCCATTTCGATGTTTTAATTGGTGCAGACGGTAAACGCAGTTGTCTTGGTAAGTTATTATCTCAACAAATGACTTCTTCAGTTCTTATTTTTCTGCATAACTATTCATTAAAATGATTGAGTGCAGAAATTACTTTTTAAATTTCGTCAACGTATGAGTACTTTTCATCCTCGTTTTAGCGAAGCAAGATTGTGTTTTAGATGGCTGATTATAATAAATCAAAACTTCAAAAATTGAAGCAGTTGTGAACGGGTTTGTATTATTGTCCAAGTATACATTTTGTTGACAGTTACTTGCATTGTCAGACGACTGACCGGTGGTCGTGCTAAAATTACGATTTCGTAGAAGTCAGAATTCATGCGCCGGTCATTAAGTCGGCTTCCAGTGGCTGAATGCTCTACGAGCTTTCCTTGTAACCGGAAGGTCATCGACTCGAATCCCTATGCTGCACACTTCTGACGAGTCCCAAACTAGGACGAAACAGCTGTCCAGTACTCCCTGGTTTTCAACAGCTTTCCAACTGATATTAATCCGCGATCAAACTTGAAATTATTCAAAGTAATCAACCATTCTGTAGTGTAAATCTTTTAATGTATCAGTATCGAGTTTTAATCAATTGTTGAGTTATATTTGTGCAACAACAACTACTTTTACTTGACCGAAATTGTTATACTGAGTTAATATTTCATAAATTCCTACTTTCCTGTCGTTGACAATTGCTTGATTTTCCAAGTTAATATTGAATATGCTCCGTCCAATTTCTCTGTTTCGTTTGTCATGCTTGGTACTATAACAGAACAGAATTGTTGTGTATTGGCCAAAGTTAGCCTATGTCGTATCTTCACACCGAGTAGAAGATAATAAAAGGTAAATGACGGATGCATATAATTAAGAGTTAAAAGCCACTACAAAACGAAGGAAGATAAGGTGAAGTGAAAGCATAGTGTCGTCTTAAATCTCTTCACATACTATTTCCGTACTCTTGCCTACTATGGGAACTTGAACTGATACATGATGGAGCCTACTGTTGATCACTATAGGTAGTTCCAAACAGCTCATGTCAATCATTAGAGCTCACTGGCCAGATCCAAGTTATCTTAAACCCGGACGACTTTTCCTGGCTTGGGGTTAAACTTACCCCTGGTGTTGTCATGCTTCACACATATTCAAAAGCACTTGGAGAAGTGATTCGTGAAGAACAAACTGGAACTCGTTTGGGTCTTTATTGTGCCAATTATGTTTTCGTCGTTCGTCAGTTAATAAAACGCCATCGCATAATTACTGATAGACAACTGTCTACATGGACAGGATTGGTCTAATAGAGAGAGAGGCTTCCCTGGGAATATAATTTTATTCTGAAAACCTTACCCAGAAAATGGCGCCATACAATCATCTATCATCACTCTTCTCATCTCATAGTAGAGTTTTAGAAAGTTTTCCAATTTTATCACTTTTTCTTTGATTGTGCCATAAATGCTACTCGGCATCGTTACAGTACTAGTGGGTGGGGGGAGGGGCTAGGGCTTACAACACTCTGTTACAAACAAATCTGGCCTTCGTGGGCTTAAGATGAATGGTAATTTCTGTCTGCATTACCATAACCATGTGTGTAATTCTGATGTCTTTTCGTGTTTAATAAGATTAGTTAGAGATCGCTTTTAAATACATATGGCTTTATCTCCAATTACGGCTCACTTTCCCTACCTTTCAGTACATTCCAATCTTGAAAATGGTTCGAAAAACCAAAAACTTAGCATGGTTAGCTTATTTTGGTGCATCACAATCCTCTGGAGAGTCCATAATAAAATGATGCTATTTAATGATGCTGTCATATATGGCTCATCATAAAAGCAATGGCAAATTATTGCAATTTCCTTCTTTCCGCTTTATTCCTAAATTAATTTGATGTAATGGTGGACACTGTTTAAATGTTTTTGATAAGAATTAACCCACCTGTTTTCATTCTATTGTTCCTCATTTATTTTATTTCTACTTATTGTTTTTGTATAATCTCCCATATGTTCTCTATTCGAGAAAGACGTACAGCATCTCCGTGTTGTTGCCTAATGTTCCTCTTTTAGAAGTAATAATACGACAGGAAGTTTTTGTGAATATCTCGTTATGTAGATTGTACAAAGTGCACTTTACTTTCAAAATGTTGAATAATGTGTTTGCTGTCTAAGGTGGGGGGGGGGTCTGAGGGGAAGAAAGAGATAATAGGCAGTGTATGTATGTACATCTTAAGCTCTTCACCTTCATTTTCTCAGTGTGTGGACCTTTATTTTAGTCGCATGGAATTCCAGATTTCGTATTCTGTTTTTTGTACAATAGTGTAGTAAATGACAAGAGATACAGCATTTCGGTGCTATGCTGTTACTCCATTTGTCTTACATTCTAGTCTTGCTTTCGTCACAACCGTTTCTCCTATAAGGTTCCATACAAAAGTGAATTCAGCACATATTTATTTGGTTGTTTTTCTTATAGTCAATCATGTGCTGTATATTACGTCTAAGGCTTATTATGTAGACATTCATCACATGACTGGTGTAATTAACATACTACTTTATAGTTAGTTAACTATTCTTAGTTGTAATGAAATAATGTCCAACCTTTTATTTCACTTTGATGACATTTAATTTTTCTCCATTCCAAACTGTAGTTATAATCATACACCTGGATAACCTTAAGTGTGTTGTTCTCATTAATGAAAGTTCGTATTAGGTATACATAAATACCTTAAATTAGATACCTTTTCATCTGAACCGTTTTCTACTTCTTATAATTTCCAATATAACGTGATCATTGCGTAGTATCACTAATGTATCAATATTAACTGGTGCTATCAGTAATCAGGAAAGTTGGTTCGAAATTGGCCCACTTATAAGGAGTAAGTCGTTATTCACTGAAACTATACAGAAAAGTGGTTCATTTCAAAAAATCAGTATTTGAATTCTGCTCATTAACCATGATGCACACCATAAAAATAATCTCTGTTAAAGTGACAATATACTATGAAATAATCTCACAAGCACATCATAGATTCTGTACTGAAAATAACATGATCGTAAGAAATTTTCATTTCAGTGTATTCTTTGTTTTTCTTTCTCATGTACCCTCGTCAGTCCCTTATTTTAGAAGTTGTAAAGACTTTCTATTTCGTAGTGTCACGTTGAGTACTCTCTTTATCGTTAAATATCTTTATATTACCTAATTGTGTGCTTTTAATGGCCGTTCAAAAGGTGTGCAGTACAGAATATACAACCTAGTAGTAGTAAAGAACATATGTAAAGTCTTAAAGAAGAATTGAAAAACTAGTAGCTGTATATACTGTGTTAGATTCAACTGTGAAATGGTAGAATATTGAGAGATATACGAAAGAGAGCAGGCAATAGAAGAAGAATAGAATACGCGTAATGAAGTTATTTTCATTATGAATAAATATTGTTTGGCAAAAGAAGATGAGGATTAAACTCAGAAACTGGACAAAAAAACTCGAAACAGGAAATTATGTCGATAGGGAACACGGTATAAACAACTTTCGTATGTATTAAAACCAGGTGAAATAGTTTTAACGCGGGAATTGGATTGATTTTCCACTGATTTTAAGAGAATTCACTACTGATTAGTATATGGCAGAGGTTTCTATTAATTATTTTAGTAAATAATCCCGTGTGTTGTATAACTTTTATGCAGTGTAACACTAGATGAAATATGGTGTGTTTGATGTGCGGCTGACGGAATTTGATCAGCCATAAAACCCTATTTTAAACCATTTTAAACTATTTATCATTCACTAAATTATTTGCCGAAATAATTCCTTCACGTCTGCCTCTACAGTAGAGCCTAAAGTAAGTAGTATCAAGGTAATAACAAATAGAGACTAACGGTACCAAGCTACGTCGCTAGGCTATTCAAATACATCAGAATAAATGTGTCCAAATTCTAGTTCACTCGTTAGTCAAGTGTGTTTTTAAATGTCATAGCAACGTATCGTATATGGTCAGTAAAAATGACAGATGAAATAAAACAAGCGCAGATTACTTACAGCTCATGCATTATATTGCGAGTGGATATAAGATTTTCATGTCTAACGTCATACAGTTAAACTAAATACTTTCTAACATATCAGTTCAGTTTTTCCTAGTTGTTATGGTTAAGTTTGTCAGTACATGAAGTTCAGACATTTGTCTGTAAACTGCAACTAACTTAACTAGTCAGTCACATTATTTTAGCTCATCGACACGACTAGTTGTCGTGTTTATCTGTTTAATTACGATTGTCAGGTAAGCCTCCATTTAATTGTTTAGAGTGTTATAATAGTAGTAAGCAATTCCCTTTCTGAGTTTTTACAACAGTTAAATCTCCATGCCGAATGAAATCTTCCAACTGAAGGTATTTTGCCAAAAAAAAGCAGATTAGTTTCCTAAAGTCCTAGTTTTACTGCTTCTGGAATTGATTGCTTGTTGGTAAGATCATTTCAAAAAAAAATCCATGACTTCTGTGTATTTTGAACTCAGACTCAATTATTTCGATATCTTACCAGCAGTCTTGATAAAACGAACTTCAGTAATTATCCTTAGTGCACACATGTACATATGAATAATTTTCAGAAAATCATCATAACCTTCATCGGAATTGTCAAACAAATTGTGGATATATATATATCAAGCTGTTTGTTAATATTCCAAAGAAGTCAAATGTCTTTATATTTTATAATTTTTGTATAATTTCATCTCCATCCAGTTTTACCTAAACACTGTAAGTGTTACTTTTTCTTACCTGGTGGGACTCTGTCGTCTAGACATTGAACTTCTAAACACACCGAATCATGGCTTCATACCCCGTTTCACCCATCAAGGGCTGGGCGAACAGGTAACGTGAATCATTACACAGTGGTTGTGGCATATTACCAACTGCATCTAAATATAACTGGTAGTTTCGTTTTTCTTGCTACTCTGGCTTGTGTAGATCACAAAAATAACTAATAACTTTACAACTTAAACTGCTATTTTGTGTATCCCTTGATTTATAATGTTGGGCGTCCAAGGGTGATACGGAGATTGTGTAAAGAGCCGATTGAAAAAATGATAGTAGAGAACAGAATGGAATAGATGATTAGTGTTGGCGAAGCCCCGTGTATTCTCTCTGGAATGTAATGAATGAAAGAATTGTAATAATACTAATGATAAATGACTTATAATGTCACCTTTTGTCCATAACTATTTTAACTGTCAGTTTTCATTCAATCAAATAATTTCCGTACATTCAATTGCAGTGAATATGAGTATGATGTCGTGTTGACTAAATCAAAGAACAAAATAATAATAATTACCATGTACACAACTCAAATCTCGCATTTTCAATATTGTTACCATACCAATATGCATTACCATAAATGTCTAACAAAAAAATCACAAACTCATAAAGTTTATTACATATGCGTGTATTAATTATGTAAAGTTGAATTTTCTCTCTCTCTCTCTCTCGTATAATTAATGACTACCATATGTTTTGACTTTGAATTAAGGTGATCTTTCTTCATACAGCATTCTTTTGGATTTAAACACTCTCTTGTCTCTCTCTCTCCTTTGTGCTTATGTACCAACGTTGTTCAATTGAACGTGATATTTTGACACTGAAAGTGTTTGCGTTTATTCAACAGACTACTTTCTACGCAGTGTGCGTGATAATTGAAACTGAAATGCGAAAATGTAGTCTCCATCTAGATTCGAACCAGAGTCCTTTTACACGTTTACTGAATAAATAACATATAATGTAAAATAATCTTGACTGTGGAAACTAAATTGTTTTCTTTTCTCAATCGATGCCGACTGATGGTTAGTCATCCGCATACCCTTATGTGTAACAAGTCTATGGCTTTTCGTTTTTAGAGCTATCTAGTGCAATTTTATATTATCGGAAGGAGATTATAATAAGTTTTTCACTGAATTTTATTTAATAATTTCTCGGTTGAATCTGCTTTCCTTCTTTTTTTAATTCTAGGTTTCCCGTGTAAAGAATTACGATGTCGATTAGCCATTGCGATAACAGCCAATTTCACTAACTATCATACTCCAGCTGAAGCTCAAGTTGAAGAGATAAGCGGTGTAGCTCGTATATTCAATCAATCATTTTTCAGTCGTCTTGCCTCTGAAACTGGAATAGACTTAGAGAATATTGTCTATTACAAGGATGAGACACATTATTTTGTTATGACAGCTAAAAAGCATAGTCTACTGGCTAAAGGCGTATTAAAACAAGTGAGAGCATATCATTCATCAAATGGTTTATTTAAGTATATTATTTGATTTTTTTGATTGCAGCTTGATTCCACACCGTATTTTTTGGTACAGTTATGGAATTTTCAGCATGTGATATCGGTAGCCCAAATTTTGCAGGCCGACCATAGATATCAGGTGTGCGTCGGCAGGGGATCGAACCCCGGACTATGTGCATGGTTGGCGAGAGTCCTAACCACTGTGCCACCGACGCACATATACATACATATATATTTGGTGTGTCGGTTGTTCTGTGGTAGAATACTCGCTAAGCATACACATAGTCTGGGGTTTGATCCCCAGCCGACGCACTTTTAAAACCCACTTAGCTTGTAGTATGCCGAGTAAAGAAGGAAGGTGTAGGGGGAAGCTAGCCACCCCACCCCGTAAAAACACATAACTGCTAGTGAAACTTCAAAGCCCCAACTTGAAGCCCTATGCTGCACATTTTTACTGCACCTGTTTCTGGTGTTTTTGACTGTTTGTGAACTAGTCACTTCGCATTTATCATCTTATTAAGTTAATGTTGGAAGCAATTATACGAAACATGATCAGTCGAACAAAATTAGTGTACAGGATGAAAAATGAAGCGTATAGATTAAAATTGTCTTCCAATAAGACTTTCAAATCTATCTTAGTTATCCCACTTGATTTTTTCTAAGGGTTGACTTTTAACTCTATAATCGTATGTTGATAAAACTTATAGGGGATTTGTTTATGAATAATTCTGCGATCTCTGAATAGTTTCTTCATTAACAGATATATATATATATATATATATATAACGCCTATGAGGTTAACTTCCAGTCCAGTGTTCAGTAGTAAGTGTTTTGATGCCAACATATATGTCTGTAAGTGTGTCAGTCAATTCATTTTCTATATCCTTCTTATAAAGATAATATCATCAATGTTAGCATACACACATGTTCAACATAAGTCCCATGTATTTCATAAAATGAATATGTAATCCACATAGCGTATTCGCCTAATAATGTTGATATTTAATCTATCGTTTATGGACGTTTTACTTTTTACACCATAAGTTATAAATCATCTCGCCTTTCGTTTCACTTATCCTCTGAATTAATCTTACTTTATCCTGGTTGTGTAACTACTATGAAATAAACTATTGAAAAAAAAGTTTTCCTGGTATTTGAATGAAAGTATTCAAGTGTGTTGTTTTCAATAATTGTGTTGCCTTTCCTAATTCTGATGCAAGACAAATTTCATGTGTGTATATTTTTGTGGTAAAAACCTCAAAAACGTCTATTGATCTGCTTATTATCATTCTACATCATTACTGCTATTTAATAAAGAAAATGCCATAATGCCAGTTTCAAGCTTCATGAAATTAGTTGTTCGTATTCGTAAGCGCCAAATACAAAGAGAGAATTTGGAAGTTATGCAGTGACATTTATTTATATATGATAGATAATCATTAAAACGAAGAGAAATTTCGATTTACATATAGCGAAAATTGTTTTGGTGGTGGTAGATAAGCATTGAATCTGCTTCCCGCCTTTTTACATGTATCTGTACGGTTCACTTTTCAGTAAGAAACTTTGTACAAAATTTCTGCAGGCATACCTGTCAGTGTATCATATGCTAAAGAGAAAACCCCTGCGAACAGATTTGTTTTCATTTACATTATTCGCAAGAGCTGGACAACTGCCTTTGATAATGTGATTAGTTATCTCATCTATTTTTACGCTTATGTTACTGTGTCTTGTAAGTTCCAGTCAAAAAGACAATAAGTCAGTATTCGTTACTTAAAAAGTGTCAAAAGTTTTCAAAGTAAATTTCAGTAGTTCCCGTAAATCACGAATAAGTCGATACCTTGAAGTGAAGTAAGGGCAACAAAATAAAAATTGTAAAAGACAAATAAATGGGCGGGAATTTTGCGAGTAAAGACTGGATGGTTGTTTGTTTGCTTGTTTGTGTGTGTATGAAATGATAAGAATTGCAATAATAAACTAAAGTGAATATTCGCTTCCTGATGCAAAACTCCCCAACTTCATCCAACGCGAATTGAACGTTGTCTTATAATTTCCGGGAGATTTGTTTTTTGTAGACCAAATAATTCTCTAAAACAGTTTGTCCACTTATTACTGAACGTCGCAAGATAGAGTCTTCTGGCTTATCTCGTCTTCCTTTCTACTGTACTATGATGGGACATGTCGATGTTAGCTATTTTGTGTTCCCTTGTGATTTAAGTGGCTAGATTCACGATAGCAAATGTGCGTCGGTGGCACACTGGTTAGGACTCTCGCCAACCATGCACATGGTCCGGGGTTCGATCCCCTGCCGACGCACACCTGATATCTATGGTTGGTCTGCAAAATTTGGGCTACCGATATCACATGCTGAAAATTCCATAATTGTACCAAAAAATACGGTGTGGAATCAAGCTATAATCAAAAAGAAAAAAAGGAAAGAAATATTCTGTTTGCATATATTCATATAATATTTAAAAAACAATGATATGAACTACCCAGACAACCATGTAAATCCTAAGTCATGTGAATGTGCATTGGATTGTTGATAAATAAGTGACTTATGCAGACAAAAAATATCCGATACTTCTGAAGTGAGGTCATATTTTTGTTTCATTCAACTTATGTTTATTCTAAGGTTGTTTTGACTGAATCCATGATAGTTTGTTTTGAAACACTTTTCAAATGTGAAAAAACATTCAAGTTAAATACTGATTATCCCTACTTAGAATTAAACACATTCCTCAATATGCTGTCAATTCCCATAAGAGTTGTATTTGTCACTCAAATTAATCTGCTAAAGGTTCATTTTTCGACGGCAAACACGTGAAAGTCTACGCGTATATTTAGACTATTGATAGGAAACATTTCGACTTCAACTTCGTTTATCTTTATACTTATCTATATATAACCTCAGGATATATATGTAAACTCTGTTTTTTGAACACATATGATATAGTTGTTTTTATGATATTATATCAGATGCTACTGATAATATGTTCGATTTTGCCGAGTGCAGTAATTATCCATATTATTTGCTTTGTCAATTAAAGTTTCTTAAATGATGATTACAAGATATTTTGTTTAGATTTGAGATTTGTTTTCATTTATGCTAACTCTATCTTAACGGATGAATACAAGTAGACCTGGCGACTGCATCAACACTACAAAGTGCAGTACCGCTTGCCTCGTTCAACAGCTTTATGAAGATACCACATGCCAAGTGATTTATAACGCGATGCTCAACTAAGTCTTTGTCGTCGATGATATTCCTGATTGTGGTGGACTGAATCATGCAAAAGACTGTGGGTAGCATGAAGACGTGCATACATTGGACTGACAAGGAGACATTAAAAAATCTGGATTTCACAGTTGATTTATGTCATGTTTCACACAAACTCAGAGATTTATATGCGAAAACGGTTACCATAATCGAAAAAAATCTAAACTGATATCAGTCCGTGACCAACTCGTAAAAACATAACTAACCCTTACAAACCAAACTATAGAAAATTAATCGGATGCTCGCTAGTGACTTGCTACAGGATGGAGCTTCCTGGAGTTCTAGTGAGAAGTCGTGACCAGTGAGGTCCAATTAGATGTCACGTGTGTGGATGGATGTCCCACCAACGACAATGATTGGGGTCGCGCTAAATCACGAATTGGTAGAAGTTAGAATTCATGAGCCATTGAATCGGGTCCCAGTGGCTGAATGGTATACGAGCTTGCCTTGTAACCGGAAGGTTCTGAGTTCGAATCCCAGTGGGTGCGTACTGCCGATGATTCCCAAACTGGGATGAAACAGCAGCTGTCCAGTACTCCCTGGTTTTCAATGGTTCTCTAACTGATATCAGTCCGTGATCAACTCGTAAAAAATCTAAACCTCTTATCGACAGGCAGCACGGGTCAGAATGTCGAGAGTGGCCAGGATCAGATCAAGAAAGCAAGACAGGCATTCATTACTCTGTAATCAGTTTGGAGACCTACAGTTATCAGTTCAAAGAACAAGGTTCAAATTTTAGACACCAGTTTGAAGTTATATCTTCCATATCGTTTAGGGACCTGGACAAGTGTCTTGAGTCATTTCACTCAAGACTACAGACTCACACCAGCCAACAGCTGTCTTCATTTGATACTTACGACCTGAAAGTGAGGAAGTATATGCAACAAGGAACTTTTATACAGAACTACGCAAGAACCTTCTGCCCAACAGATATGTAGGAGTAAATGAAGGTAGATTGGACGCCCTGAGGAGAACTTCATATGACACCACACACCAGGAACTCAAGTAAAACCAAAATGAGAAGCGACGAGTTTGGAGTGGGTATAATTGATACATTTCATTACTTCACTCCCTATCCTTAGTTTTCTAGTCAGTGAACATCAGTCCTGTAGCAGTACTATCAATTGGAATGAGTGCAATTCATCCCAAATATAATTTTTTTTCCTGAAAGCTTTCAGAAGGCTATACTTCTCTGGCCTTGCATAATAACTTCTCTATGAAGCGATCAAGCCAAATAGAACGCTATTTGTTTTAGTAAATTGTTCAAATTTATTAATGAAAGTGGTGACAGTCAGTATTCTTATCACTTTAAATGATAACTCCGCGTAAATATTTTTAAGATTATATTAAAAGCAACGGTAGAGTGCATTGATGGACATAAGGTGCTTTCTTAGTGCTATATTCACAACCAGACGTTAATATAACACTTTTTGATAGACCAAGTCGAATTTCTCCTCTGGAACAAATGCTTTCCAAGTTTCCAATGCTCACTAGAAAGTCTGGTTTTACATTTTAACACCAGTTTGTTTGAAACATCTCACATTCCCACATTAGCTATCTTTCTGTAAAGTTGATTCAGTAGTTCTTTGCTATCTTAAATTATTTCTGAGATCGTACCATTTGGTTCTTCTGTTGTCTCATTTTAGATCAGAGATAGGGTGATTGTGGCGACTTGAACTGCCGCACATATGTGCAAAGTTCTATGTCGAAAACCGACCGACCAGAGATAGGGTTGACAACTTCTGCAAAAGTGAGATAGTTGGTATCTGTTTATCATTCAGATTAGCGTTTTGTGTTGGGGGTGGGGGTGGGGTTGTTGTTCAGTTGTAAGCTCGTCGAAGTATTCTGTTCGGACTTTCAACAAGGATGATTAGTATTTCTTATGCGCCACACTTCAGCAGTTGATCTCTGCTTGAAGTACCTGAAGAAGGGGAATTAGTTTTGCTCGAGCACATATTGTCCAAAAGACATCAGCTTTAGACTGATCGCATACTATCTTTTTACTATATTATCAATGCATTTCTGTCTTAATGAAGGTTGTACAGATCCCATAGGTATCTTTTTCTAACCCCTCCTTTCCAGATTAGTGAAACATCATAGTGATCTATCTAGTTTTTTTTGGTATTATAAAAACTATAGAAGCAAGCATTCAGGTCACGTCGTTATGACGTACATCATTGATCTTCTTGCTAAGACAGCAATTGTGGGTGAATGTTACTAAGAATATCCTACCTATGATGTCGCTTACCGGCTCCAAGTGTCCTGGTGATACATTTATAATTAATTTGCGTAGACCCTGTTGATAATTACTGATGAAGGGATCCGTTTTAGTGCTAAACACAATTGCCTCAAAATTACTTACTGTGTGTAAAATTGGGCGTGAAATCTAGGTTGATTGTTCCCGACATGTGCAATTATTTGATGCAGTATAAGTAATTAATAATGATTTCCTAAATAATTCCATTCGTGAACTGCTTGTTTAGCTAATGTTTTACTGTAAAAAAAAATTCTATTTCAAATATAACTGACCTCGTTGTCTTACACTACACTGACCTTATAACATTGTAAATCATTTAATAAAAATGATCTTATTTCAGTGATTACTTAAGTCAGAGTGTAGATGAATGATCATGAGACGCCGATGATTACAAGTGCTTTCTAATTGTAATGTCTTTCGAGTGTAAAACGTTGCATACAACTTGACTGTGACAGAATTTAATCAGCACCAACACCATAGAGTCGATGCATGACATTAGTTACATACTAGTTCACTTTGGTGCATAATCTCAGCCAATAGCAACAACCATCATAAAAATTTCATTATCACTTTATTCTTTGGTTATTATAATAATTATTATTTTTTCTAATAATTTATTCATCCTTCTGATGTTGTTGTTGTTGTTCTTCTTTTGTTTCTTTTTAAAATCCATCTATATACAATCTAACAACCCTACGGCCTCTGTGCATGTGATCCTATAATCTCATGTCATCTCAAGGATCGAGATGATTCAGTCAGCTTATTATGTAAAGATAATGTGGATAAATTGGCTTTGCAGGCGTATGCAAGAGAAACAGCTTCTTATGTTACAAATGGTGCACTGACACGCTTAGATTTCGCTTTAAATTCACGCGGTGAACCAGATGTGGATGCATTCGATTTCACGAAAATGTTCGCCGCTGAACATTCATGTAATATACTTGAAAAGAATCATTGTCTTTTACTACAATGTCTTATCGGTGATGGATTATATGAAGTAAGTGCATTTCAAACACTTATTCATCCACCTTCCTTTTTCTTATTTCTTAGAAAAAATGCAAAAATTTTATTATTATTATAATTATTATTGGTTTTTGTATAATTGTTATCATCAGTAGTGTGTGTTGGAGGGTTGTGCATTTTTTTTTCAGATGTGGGAATTTCTTATATGAATGTAAGATAGTTTTTCCGTGGATGACATCAACTTGAGCTTGAAACTCACCTCAGTTTTACGAGTATTATATCAAGATAGATAATCTTAATGTTTCATTGGTGATAAATGTATTTGATTAACAAATGCGAGAATTCCAATTGAGAAGATAACAGGACTCACTTTGACCTTGTCGGTATACATACATACATACATAATATCTTCCTATTGATTGTCAATTGGATGTCTAGTAACACTAACGTGTTTTAACTGGTTATGACATTACAGTGCACTTTAGTGTTCCATTTCTCGAGTTGGTTATCAAAAAAGGCGTGTATTTCAATCGTCACTGTAAAAAAAAGGTGGCTACTGTTTCGCCGTAACCTTCTCCTATTCCTATAATGTTCATTCTGTGTTCAATAATATTTTAAACATGAAAAAGAAACTGAGCATTGTAGTAAAATATAATATTTGGTCCGGTTATGATTTACAGTATGATGAAATGATATTTTTAGTCCATTTATTATATGTGTAGAAGTTATATAATAATATTTTCTGCGTCTTATAGCAATTTCTTGAGCTGTAGGAGTACATGTTATTTTCTTTAAACATTGAAAAACAACCATTTAAAAGATCACGTTGTCAAAAATTTACAATTACATTAACACATCTTTGGAAATATTCCTTTTGTTGCCAAGAAAAATTACTATAAATTTGCGGTTTGTACAGCTTGAGAATGATATCGCCGAAAAGAGTAACTCTTTGCTGAACGCCTTTTCTTTTCTATCACGTACTCTGTTTGTTTATTGTATAATATCAATTTTCTTTTCATTCTTCGTGAACATATTATGCCTATTGTCTCTATTTCTGTTTAATTTCATTATAGAAATACTAATGAATGTACAACTAATTTACTTTAGTGACTTAGGGGTTGACTTGTTACCAGAGCACAGTGCATGCAAAAAATACTGCCCTTCTAGATGAAGATACTGATAAAATTCAGAGTCTTTTGAACCCTTGTAGCAGAAATCTTAGTACTTAAGGTGATACCGCAGCGTAGGTCTGCATCGACTTTCAGTTTATAGAGAGAAAGAGAATGAAGTAGTTGATTGTGTTCACCATTCCACTTATACGGGTAGTTACATCAACCCTGATAGACCGATTGTTGACGAAATCTCTACACCAATATACAAGGCTTATGTGGCATTTGACAACTTAAGTCATCTGTGATTCAGATGTGATATCCGACTATGAACCAAAGAACGTATGTGAAGCGTAGCACTTGGCCACACCATTTATAGCTGTGAGATACGACCGTTGATAGAAAAAGACCTGAATTGGCTAGCTTTCTTTGACCGAAAGTGTTTGCCTCCTGTCTGACGCGTTAAGCGCTTTAATGTAGTGAGAAATATTGAGGTCAGGCGTTATGTGAGGAGAGGCAGTCAATCAATGGTGTTGTGCAGCTATATTGACTAAGATGACCAGGACACGTGCTACACATGCCGAGCCACCCCCTTCTTCGTTGAGCGATGATAGCTGATATAGGATAAGTGTGGAAAGGAATCGTAAGAAGTCAAACCCAAATCTGTTATTAATCCAGATTGAAGTCTTCGACTGTTGGTTTGAACCACTTAGGGAGGTGGAGACTGCCTGGTTGGGGTCATCGATGTGTCATCGATTTTCCGAATACCACATAAGTTTTTTCTGACATAGCACGTATCAGTGCAATGTTCCTAAATGGATGACATTTTGATCACAACTAGCTAATACATATATTTATAGGGTATTCACACAACTACCTAACTTGCTTCAAATAGTTCTCCTCATTCCTGTATTCTCTCTCTGTCTCTCTCTCTCTCTCCGTCTCTCTTACTGGGCGTTAACTTTCTGTTTTTCATCATAATTTTTTCTTCCAGCGGAAAACACACTTATCTATTTTGTTTAGGTTAAGTAAAATGTTTTATTTTTGGCTGTTTTGCTTTTTCCTGATGTGATTAACATTTCGTCTGTTCCTACTCTTTCAGTCAGTAAAGGTGGTAGTAGACTGACAAAACATATTGGTGCACAGCAATATGCATAGTTTCACGTTTATTCGTTTTGCAATGGGATGATTAAGCAGTAAAAGAAAGTAGTAGGATAAATGAAAAGCAAATGGCGTAACCAAAAACTGTTAACAGCACTAGTTTGTTTCATACTACTTAGGATCATCAACCTCTGTCTGCCAACACTTATGTGTATTCTACAAGAGTAATACCATATCTTGAAACTAAAACCCTTTGCCCATTGTCTTCCCATGGTCTACAGAGTACAGGATGAAATGAAGATGAGTCTGTTGAAAAACCCTTTGTTCCACTCCGGAACCTAAGAGAATAATGGTAGTATCATCCCAATCAATGTCTTTTCATCGGATTAACTATCCGCCTCCTGTTGACTCACCTCCATAAATGAATTTTCAGTTTGGTTTTCGAAGTTTGTACTTGAATTAGCCTCAACATTCTCCGTCTAACGTGTCAGTTCATCAACTTGATGGATGAATGACCATTCAGTAGTAATTCCACTTATGTTGTATGCAGTAAAAACTTCTGTCCAATATTCATTGTTCATGCATTGAATACTTTTCTCTTTATTTTAATGTTTGTAATAATTCACTTTGTTTGGGGATTAATTATGCAAGCGGAAAAGAAAACTGTGCTGTCTTAAGATGAAATTAAAAACTAGTCTTTTTTTCTTTGCGTTATTCCAAACTCTGTTGGAAATTATCGACTTTCACACAGAGTGACTATACGATAATACTCGGTAGACAAATATACGCAAGATTACTGACCGTCATTCAGTGTTCTTACTTTATCTTCGTATCATGTTGTGTTGTAATTAGTTTCTATTCTACAGGTATGGTCTTTTCTATGGATGGTGACATTTTAAAATTAAATACAGCATTAGAATGAATACCACTAGGCATTAAGAATGATAATGTTTATCTTCTTTTTTACCATGTTGCTCTATAATATACAAGTTAGTGCTGATTTATTTCCCATTGTTATAGGTGTGTATTTTTTGGAATGATTGCATGATGAGTTTCAAAAACGAACAAATCCTGAATCCTGCCTACGAAACCTCTTCCGTTTTTAGGGGACTTTATATATGGAGTTTCAAGTGCACATTAGACTTTGTGGAATTGTTTATTTTTCGTCAACTGTGAACTTTCAAAATTGAACTAGTTCGTCGAAGGGGTAATTCAGACATGGCTTTGTGTAGTTATAATCATTCACATTCGAGTTCCTGTTTTACTATAAATTATATCTGAAAACATAGGAAACATTGCAGTCGGCGAAAAATCTTTGATTATTCGAAATTTAATGTCAATATTTTGTGAAGGCTATATAGAACTTTCGGATTTTTGTTGCTAACATGAAAATATGCTTGCTGGTTACTAGCCAGCATCATCACTCATGTACTGAGTTCATCAGTAACTCAGACTATAATACTTCAAAGTAGTTTTCTACTTTCCCTACAGCTATTTTATTTTAGAAATCCTATCTTCAAAATTCTGATGACATCCCTGGGGTTACCGACATGTCCCCCTCTTCAAAACTCTATGTAAACCGTATTTGAAGTATAACAATAATAAGCTGCTAAACAGTAATATGTGCTATGCTGTTGAGTTGTCAGAATGTACTGGAATAATTTTGTCGGTATTACAGTCAACGAATATTTGTCTATAATCGCTTATGTTGACTTATTATTGTAGACCGACCAGTTACATCAAAGTTAAAAGCTGCTTTGATGATTATTCTTTTTTTTTATCAGTTAAAGGAATTTGTCTCATTGCCAAACTGCTCAATATCCATGCGCGATTATCTGTGAAATACATTTCAGTCCTAATTATTTTATGGTATTCGTATGACCTAACTAAATGCTAAATACCATTAGCCCTTCAGATTATTTAATTAAATCATAATTCACCTTTCTTTTTCTATGCTAATCTTCATAGGTGTGTCTGTCTTTCCTACAATTCTATAAACCACACTAATGCTCATACGTTTTTTAAAAGGATAACATTCGTCTCATTGAAATTATATGAGATAAACGGTTAAAATGTGATATCTACTTATGAATACATCAGAATAAAGGTGGTGTCCAAATTGTAGTTCATTCATAATCCTGTGTGCCAGATCATCTTAGTAGCGCTCCTTACACCGTAAGCTTCTTATAGCTAACTTGCTTCCAAAATATGCTTTAGTAGTACTGATATCGCTCACTTTGAGTTCAACATTTGAAAAACTTTATCAAGATGGAGGTTGCTTTGAGGACGATTATGTTGGAACCAATGAACTAACTATCAAAAGCAGCATCGGAAAGAAAAGACACACCTTCGTCACTCTGAAATCATTTTGGAGATCTTCTGCACTCAACACAGAGAACAGAATTTGGATTTTCAACACTAATGTTAAGTCAGTCAGTTAGCTCTTCCATATGGGTCAGAAACTTGGTGGATGCGTCACGGAAATCATTTCCAACAGGCTACCGCAGACTTTTATCAACAGTTGCCTTTGCTAGCTCCATACTGCAGATCATATGGCCGGAAAGAATTAGCAACAAGGAACTGCGGGTAGAACGAATCAAGAGACTATTGTTCGACGAATATTCGGAAGGAAATGGAGATGTACAGGATAAACGCTGAGAAGATCGTCTAATGACATGGTGTGCCAGATCCTTGAGTGGAATCTGAATGGGAATGGACGGTCTGATGGTGATATGGACGAGAAGGTGACAGTCTATGTTCCGTCGTGGGGAGAGCTATAGAGGACTGAGTGAACAGTTAAATATACACAAAACAGTGCATTTTG